TTATCGCATCGGTTGTTCACCGGTCTGCAGGGACTGCTTTGTTCGTCTCCCCTGAAAGAATCACCAACAGCAGTTGCCAACGGAAGCACTTTGGCATGGCCTTAATGTATTTGGTATGTACTGGTCATCACCATCTTTTCCCGGACATTGCCAGCCCAAGATGTATTGTCTTACCAGCTATGTTTATACTGGCGTAACTTTTCAAAATCTTCGCATTTGCAACTATGAATTTTTAGATGGGTCTTGGTCACCGTTGAAGTTGGCCAATTCGTTGCAGATGATCAATTTGGATGTCACGTACGACAATTTGTATGACTCTTTGGAGGCTTATCACTTATCAGACGCTCCTACCAAAGAGGTATTTTAAATTGTTTTTCTTACACTCCTTTCTAATTGCTGCTCTGCATGATTTACTTAACAAATTGAGTATGAGTTGGTGTTTCGAATGATTGCATTATGAGCCAGCATGGGCAAGCTAGGAGTCCAGGTATTGAGGGAAATGGCTGTTTTCATTATAGATGTGGTTCGAATCGCTGCCACCAGTCATCATATTCTCACTGGTTCGATTTAGCTACACAAATGGACAGACGGAAAAAGTCCACAGCAAATTTCAGTTCCCCCGCGAATTGTACATGGACCGCTTTCTATACCGAAATCGTACGTTTGTCAACGAGAAACGAATTGAGCGGAACGGGCTGAAGAGCCAACTTTCACACGTGAAATCCCAACTCGAAGGGTTTGTGTTACATCCTCTATCCTTTCTACGGCTTTATTCTCAAAATTTTTTTGCTTATTAGTAGGGTCTGCATGTAGCGGAGGAAGTGTGGTGCACTTTATACGAAAGGAAATCAGGAAGCAAATTCCCAGAATTACTGCCTGGAAGATGGCGGTATTTGTTTTTCTCGAACATAAATGCTAATGTATCCACCAATTGGTCATGACCGGTTGGTGTTGCTCATGAAAGTTTGCCAGTTGAGAGGATGGTGTGAAAGTACAGTACAGTGCCGAAGGTACTATTCTCAATGTTTTTTAGATGGAAAGAATTTTCGGCCGGTGATGCAAAGTTGCCACTTCCATCGCTCATAGATGCTGTCGTTAAATATACTTCTTCAGCATGTATTCAGTTAGTTGTTTCTGCTTTTCTCGCCATCTACTAAAACTCAGGTCCGGAAACAGTCGAGTTGCACTGAAGAAGGGGGTGGGGGGATGGCAGGTAGAGGGCTAAAGGCGAAGGGTGGAGGGAGCTGGGCGTTGGGGCGTTGGTTTAGGTCTTAGGATCGTAACGGAGGAATGGAGACAGATTATTGACTGGAAAGCAAAGGAAACCTTGCTTGAAAAAAAAAAAAAATGACGACAGAAGCCGGTGTGCGGAGAGCGTCTGTGCGTTTTTATCCTCGTCATGGCACTTATTGTTGAGGGAGGTTTGCTCTCGAAGTGCCACCCAGAGCTTCAACTGCGCAACAAAACCGGCACCACGATTTTTGCAGCAAGAAAATAAGTAGCAACGCGCCCCAGAATAACCAATGCGACCATGTGTTTTGTGCAATTCCGTCCACCGAACGATTGCCTGTTCATGATTTTCACTGCTTTGCACACTGATCTGTTCAAAAAATCGTTGAAATTTTGAGAAATAATAAAAAATTTCACGCACCGGCATATGGGAGCTGAATTTGAAACCTCGAGGGTGAACATCCCTTCTAAATTCCAACCTCCTAATTTTCTGGCTTTCTAATGGTTCTTGAGACAAAACTCTTTTACGTGGTCGCACGTGAGATCGCGGCATACTTAGAAACTGAGTTCGAGTTTGTGAAGCATTCGCGCAAACAGGAAATATTTTCCTGAAATTTTCACCTCCCTAATTCTTCTGGCTCCCGAGATAATGACTTTCTCGCCAAAACTTCCGCGGGGACGTTGAAAATTTGCAGAGTCGTACGTGAGCAGCAGATTTCACACTAAAATTTCAGCTTCCTAACTTTTGCAGTTCACGAGACAGTTCCCCTGTCAAAACTTTCACCAGAACGTAAGCGATACCCAGAGATGCATGAAGGCTGAATCCAAATTTGCGGGGAAGAACGTTGACAGGAGATATCGCCCTAGAATTTCAGGTTCCCAGCTTTCGCGGTTCCCGAGATAAAAATTTTCTCGCCGATACTTTCACGGGCCATAAGAGATGCTTGAGAGCGTGGGAATGCTGAATTTAAATTTGTGGGATTGTATGCGGTCAGGGCGCACTGCCGCAAAATTTCAGCTTCTTTGGCTTTCATGGTTTTCGAGATAATAATTTGCCTGCCAAAATTTTCACACGGCCTTAGATGATACTCGAGACCGCGGGGACGCTGAATTTGAATTTGCAAGGTCTTACGTGGACAGAGGGTCACTACTGTAAAATTTCAGTTTCCTAGATTCCTTGGTTCCCGAGATAATTTATCCGCCAGAACTTTTACGGAGCCATACGTGTTACTCGCGGGTAGAGGAAGGCTGAAATTTTTTAGGTTGCACATGGGAGCACGTGAAACTTAACATGGGAAATTTTTAATTCAGAAATCAAGAATAAATTTATGAGTGAATTTTTCCTCTTTCTGCGCTAGCCTACCAATTCATCTCTTACGAACCTTTGCATATCACATATGAGTGCGTGAAATAGCCGGTAACAAATTCTTTGCTCGGGGACGAGACAGCATTTGGACTTTTTGTACACTCACCAAACTGATGAAGCAATGAGTATTCTTTAACAGTAGGCATCCGCTGGACAGAACTGCGCAAAACGCATGATGCGCATCCTTGGTGCGTGTTTCTCTTTCTGTTTTTCGGAGACATAGAAAATGTTTTGTTTTATAATTTTTCAATCAGTCTTTTGACATTTTCTGCATTTTCATGCCCTACAAACCTCCAATTTTATGGGTTACTTGCAGAGGTGCTCCTAATGCATGTTCGCCTTGTAGTCCGCAACCGATGGAAGTTTGTGTTGATTCTGCCGCTGCTGGTGCTGCATCATCCGAAGGTATTGCTACGCCTATCTTATAGCTTGGATCGTTTTTTATCCTCTCTTATTCTCATTTATTTTGGAACCATCCTATCTCGTTAAAGTTCTTGAGCCCAATCAGCAAGTCAGTCTGAATGGAAATTTTTCACTTTTCTTGGAGAGAGCTAATTATCTCAGCCATTTTTC